ACACTGCCTGGTTTTCTAAGAGGGAGATGAAGATTCTAGCTGGGCTCCAACCTGTCATTTTCCTGGTCCAGTTCACACAATTCACAAATTTGGGTCCGTTGGGGTTTCACTTTGTTGCCCACGACTGAACTGCTTAACCCTTTCCCACAAAATTCAGGTACAGAATGGGGAAGCAGCCCAGCTGTGTGCAAAGCCTGTGTCTCAACAACACGCTCCTCTCAGAGGGGTCACCAAGGGAAGCCAACTGAACTACGGCCTCAGACTGGTGGAAATTAACCTAGCACAGGAATACTTGTCTGCAGTAGTGAGAGATCTGACCAGATTAATTCCCTTGGGACTCAGGTTACCCTCAGGCAGCTCAGCAACATAGCTGGAGAGCCACGTCACAGCCCACCTCCACTTCCTGCAGCCCTTCGAAAAGGTGACTCCAATTTTCTGCGTGTGGCTCAATCACATTCCAAAGCCCTATCTTCAAAGCAAAAGCCCTGGACCACTGTAGTGAGTGAATCAACATGGGAACCAGGAGACTTACGCGGCTGGCTACTCACCCAAGAAAGATCGGACAGTGCTAATAGAATCTCTGTGGCCATTCCTCAGGGGTGGTGGAGGAGGTGGAGGTGGCCCAGCTGGCGTCCTTGAGGGCGGAGGTGGAGGTTTGCCTCGATTCAGGGGCTCTGAGCCATGCACACGGTATGGTGGGGGGGGAGGTGGGGCATCCCTGGCACCATTGCGAATCATAGGTGGTGGGGGTAGAGGAGCTGCAATCAAAATCCAAAGTAATTAGGCTTGGGCATGGAGAGAGAGAAGGGTGGAGGGATTTGGGGCATGGGCTAAAGAGAACACCTGGGTACTTTGTCAATGAACCAGGCCACGTGAGCCTCTGCATGGCCCTGAATACGCCACATCCACCCTCCTCTTCATCCCTGACACCGCATCACCTCTCTCCGACACCCAGGTTCAGAATACTGTCTGACTCTTCTATCCCAAGTCAGTCCAGAACCCTGCTGGTTCTCGATGCTTTCCCCTGCTTTCATGCCTTCCCCTCGATTCTAATTCGGGTCTGGACTCTTAGTTTGGTTCACTGCAGAAGCCTCTCAAATATTTGCCTTGTTTTCAATCTCTTACCCCTCCCATCTGCACCTCACCAACTCACTCAATCTTCCTAAACACGAGGGGGCTTCAAAGAGTTTGAGGAAAAACGAAATGAAAAGACACTGAACTTTTTTTCCTATGAGCTTTCTAAAGCCCCTTCATACTAAATTTAGTTTATTTTTTTCAAGAGTTTTGTATTTCCTACATCAAAAAAGCTCAACTCCTGAGCTTCGACCCACCTCAGCTTATCTTTCTCATTTGTGACCTACCCCATCAGTTTGACCGCGCCTTCTCCTCTGTCTCCCTCTACCCTTAGGATGTTAGGTACCCTCTCCCACACACCCACTGCAGCCAATGCACAGCCCCACCACTCGACTGTCCTGCGGCTACTCAGTTTAGTGTTCCTCTCCCCCATACACTGTGTGAGTCCTGAAAGTCTGACCCGGGTTGGTCCCACAGCTAAAAGGTACAGCTCGATATTTGCTCAGGAAACGGAATCAAGTGCGTTTGGCTCTTGTGACTTCCCCCCTTTTCTGAAATGCCATCCCTCACCTTTATTACCAAAGTGTATTTCTCTTTCAAGGTTCAACTCAAGTTCCATTTTGTTCAAGACTTCTCCAAACCAGCTCACCCTGTCCCGGCCCCCTCTGTGTTCTCACAGCACTGTGGATTACTTATTCTGGAGGGTCGTATTGTGGTTAGAGACCACTGAGTTGTTCCGACTCAGTGACCCTACATAAAACGGGCTGAAACACTGCCCAGTCCTGCACCACAATTGTTCTTATGTTTGAGCTCATTGTTGTAGCTGGCTGTCAACCCATCTTCTCGAGGGTCTTCTGCTTTTGTGCAGCCCCTCTACCAAGCATGACGTCCTTCTTCAAGGACTGGTCTCTCCTGACAACATGTGCAAAGTCTGTGAGGTGATGTCTCGCCAGCCTGGCCTCTGAGAGACACTCTGGCTGTCCTTCTTCCGAAACAGAGCTGTGTGCTCTCTGGGCAGGGTTCAAGTGCACCCCTTCTTCAGTTGTCCTTATTCAACGTCCAACTCTCACATGCACTCAGCCATTTTCCAAGTATATGTAGGCGGCGGCCCTGGGAAGTTCCATATTCTCTCCTGTTATTCCCATCGTTCAAATAAAAATGAGAACAACTCTTGGAATGACCAGCTAGACCCTCCAGTGCTATTACATGATGATCACACCTCATTTCTGAGATCACTACCACCACCACCACCACCACCACCACCAAGAGCCGTACTCACACGGACTCTGTACTTCGAGCCATTTGTAAATATCAAAGCCACCTGTGAAAAGTAGCCACCAATGAGAAAGTAATGTTACAAGCAAGTGTACAGAAATGGCAACATCCATGAAAGATTAGGTATAGAAAGCTTCCCAGTGGCAACATTCCTGGACTAGATTCTGATGTGTTTAAATTATATCACTCCTATGCTTTGTGTGAACGAGGAATGGCAGGGATCATTTCTGGGTATTCCTTATGTCTGAGTACTGTCCTGGGCAATTTAAAAAAATTCTTACAACCACCTCTGGAAGGTACGTGGAAGCAAATGTAATACCAACAGACCCAGCATACTCCCTCGCTCCCCAACCCCAGCACCGCTTTTCATAGCTCCCTCTTCAGCTAGATTTACAATGCAGTGAGTTAGGACTGTCTCTCGGTGCTGAGATGGCGTTGAAGGCCTCTAACAGTACATGGAGAGACTGTTCAGCTTGACAGACACACTATTGTGATCAGAAGTGACCAGTTTTCAGTATGGAACACAGTAATGAGATGAAACAGGGAGAGGGAAGGTGTCCACTACAGTTGTTCCAATAAATGTTAAGTTTTACTTCCCATAAGACAGCCGCAGAGGCTGGAGACAAAGGGAGGGGGCGTGGCTCTCACGGAGCAGAAGGACGTGCGTTTTTAAATAAAAAAGACAGACTCAGAATATCAACTTTCTCTCATTCTTCAAGGTCTACTTATGAACAAGAGCTATTAGGGCGAGCACTCAAATCTCCTTAACACCTCCCAGCAGATCTCCGAGTCTTGCTTTCTTTGGAAATGTGGCCAAACCAATGCTCTTCCAGATCCATCTCCCCCAGATTTCTCAGGACTTTTTAGGGCAAGGCAAAGAACACCAGTTAAGCACTGGGCAGCGATGAAATCCAACCTAGGCTGGAGAAAGAGAGCAGTGAGAACATCGGCAGATCCTTCCACTCCCTCTCTGAGAGAGGGCCCTGCCAAAGCACTGGCTATCCAGTTTTAGTAGCCATTCCAGTGACCGGGCCAGCGCTGAAGAAACAACCCGTCTAAAGCAGCAGCCCTGGGCTGGGAGTAGCCTTTTCAAATTCAAGATCATCCAGATGTTGACGAAGGCATGATGCTGTAGTCTTTCAAAAAGAAGGTTCTTTCGTTTCACCCGCAATCTCTTTTTAATTTTTTTTAAATCTCTTTTTAATTTAACCTACACAACACTGGAGAGATAATTTTATCCTTACTTTACAGGTGAAATTGAGGCTGTCAGAGTAAAACCAACTTTCGGAACATGGAATTCTAATGCCAGTCCAGTAAACAAGTTGCTGTAAAGTCCATTTTGACTCCAACACTCAGGGGTTTTGCTGAGACAACTGGGAAGGCAGGTGACTCCATACCCTTTCAAACATAAATAAGCCATACTAAAGCCAAAGAACACTCAGACACAATATTGTCATGACATGACTTAATATAGTTTTAAGTATATCCATGAACTACCTGGAAGCTCGTTGTATAAAACCACTAACATCAGCACACACCTGCTTACAAAACATTTCACGTCTACTTTTCATTTTACAAGCAGCTCTTAAAGTACTAGTAAAACTAACCTATCAATGAGGAAATAAGCTCACAGAACCAGAGTGACCTGCCCAACATCACACAACAAACAGTCAGAACTCCAACGACCTCCCTGTGGCAACAACACCCCACTTTCCCCCAAAGGATGACTCTTTGAACAAGGCTCTGATTACTGATAAGAAAAGCAGCCTCTGGGCCTCAAGGCTGAAGATGGCGAACAAAAAAGACCAGGCTTTCATTTCAAAATCTTTTAAACTCACAGGGAATGGACTGAGGAGTGGGAAGAGCCAGGAGTCCACAGACATGGCAAGCTGTTCGGCTCAGCCCACTGATAACTGCCTTTTTCTCTACCTTCACTCCTGGATGGCGCAGGGAAAGACCTGCGTTCTGCTCTGATAATAGGTCTTTAAAAAAACAACCACAACCACTCCAAATTAGAGGGCGGAGCAGTTGCATAGAGAGCAAAACTGAACATATTTACTGCCTGCCTTTTGGAATATACAGTGTTACTCAAGCCACTCAATTTCCCTGACTGCTTTTCTCCGTGGGGAATATACTTGTTTTCCTGTGTGAAAAATACCACGCTTCCAAAATGTCTTTAGAAAACCATGTGAGAAACATGGGGTGGGATGGTCTGAGCTGCTAACAGATTTACAGATTTTTAATTCCTGAATCAAAAGTTGGAAAATTTAATCAGAACTTTACAGAATTCAGGGCCACCTTAGGAATATATCCCAGGACAAGAGCTAGGGAGCCAGAACTCAGGAACACAGCAGGCTACTCACTTGCCCCCCACCCACCACACACACACCTGTAAGGCCCTCGCCAAGCAGCTTTGCGAGCTTCTTTCTGCAGGACTTCCCACCAGTGCTCCCTACCTACAGAGGCTGAGCATTTCAAAGTTAAAAAGCCAGTCCTAGAGTGTGGTCCAAAGTCCAGTGGTCCAAGACTACGGGAGCCCCAATGCTAGCTCTAAGAAGGCCTCTGAGAGCTGACACGGACTCTTTCACTCTCCAATTTCAGTCAAGCTCTTTTTTTCCAAAAGATTACACAATCTCTCTGATCTTTGATAGGGTTCCTTGGGAAAAGTTCATGTCCTTAATTCCCTCCAACACCAGTTTAAGTTCCAGGGCCCATTATTATCACCAGTCCCCTCTTCCCTCCCCCTTTCCCTAAATGCCTAAAACATGCTGGCCCTGGATACACACAAGGCAGCACCTACTCTGCACCTGCAACACTCCGAGCTGCACACTCCCTATGCCGTTCACCTCGCTGTAAACGCATGACCCTAGTCTCCAGTGGGGTGTCAGCACTGCTGGCAACCTGGCCCGGGGCCCCGCTCTACCCACTCTCCCACACTCCCAGATGGCCATTTCACTCCTCCTCCTCCTCCTCCTCCTCCTCTCACCTCACCTCACCTCCTTCCCAGCTGATGGGCTTGCTTTTTTACTGAGAAAACAAGCAAATCAGAAGAAAATTTCCACAAGATTCTCATCCACCTACATACTTGGTCCTATGCTTACGGGAGGGCAAATAGCAAAAAGTTTGTGGGGAAAAATGTCATATCTTTTCATTCCATTTTCCCATGAGCCTTCAGAGGCCTGCCTTCCTTCTTGCTTCCAGGCTTGTCTTGGGCCCATTCTTCATACCTGTGGATCAGATTCCATCCCCTCTTGACTACTCAGGGGCATTCCTCAGGCAATTTGTTTCTCTCCTGAATCATTGCCCCATTCCCACACCGCCCCACTCTCCACTACAACATTCCATCAACATACACATCAGGGCAGGTGAAGGAGGCAGGTGAAGGAGGGTGGGGGTAGAGGCCCCTCATGCCCATCGTCCTCTTCTAGAGCCCACTCCATTCGTCTGTCTCCCTTCACAGGGAAACAGAAGAGATGTTTACACTCCTACCTCTAATCTCTCTCCTCCTACCCCTGCGTGAACTCCCTCCAATTGGGCTTCTACCAGGCCCCTCTACCACGTCATCAAAATTACTCAAAAAGATCCTGAGTCACTTGGAGATACCCAAAATGACTCCTACATTGCTAAGACCAATGTCTTCTCTCCGCCATCAATTCACAGGGTCTATCTGTAGCACTGGACATGGCTGAACACACCATCTTCCCTGAAAGAATTTCATTCCTTCTACGACACTCTTGGTTTTCCTCTCCCCCACCCCGCTTCCTCATTGAAGGCTGTTTCTCCATTTCCTTGTGGGTGCCCTCAGCACTCTTACCTCTACTAGATGCTCTCAGTCCTCTTCCAGTGGGTCTCATCTCACACATGGGAGCTCTCACCACTATCCAAAGTTATCTCCCCAGCCCAGATCTCGCCCCAAACATCAGAGCTTAATCGCCAACTGCTAATTCAGTATCACTTCTTGAATGTTTCTGAAAGTGAACATCTGTCTTCCCCTCCAAACACCCATCTGCCTATTTCACTGCAAAAGCCTCTCCAGTGGGCTTTCTGCCACACCCTTGCCCTCCCGCAGCCTGTTCTCAAGATGGGAGTTCATGATCTTTCTAAAACAGCTATCAAATCATGCCACAGACACGCTCCGGATTCTCCCGTGGTTCCAGCCATCTTCACAACACGTTGCAATGCCCTCCACACTCCACGTTGCCACTGTGCCCTCATGGACTCTAATCCTGCCACAAGGGCCAACCTGCTCTCTAGAGCATGTCAGGAGTTCTCCTGCGTCAGGGTCTCATGTCTTCTGTCCCCAGTGTCCGCAATAGCTATTAGCTCAGATCACTGTGTAGCCCACTCCATCCACTCTCCCTGCTAATCTGTCACCTATCAGTAAGGACTTCTCTGACCCTACCTGCAACCCCGATTTCAGCGGTCACGACCTCCCCACCTCAGTACATCCTATTCTTTTCTTTGCGTGCTTTTTCTCTATAGCACACTACACACATGGATTGACTGTTTACCTTTCCTATGCATTGTCCTTCCTTACAACAGAGCTGCCATCAGTGAACTGCCGAAATTAAGCACGTCTATTCCTTCCCATCACTGACGGGGAGCTTGGAGAAACATGTAAAGATGAGCACAACGCCCGGGCTAAGGAGAAAAGCAGTGCACTTACCTGCTCCTCGACTGGGAGGCTCTCGGGCTGGGGGAGGTGGCCTACTACTCTGTAGAGAGGGGGAGGCTGAGGTGGGTGGAGGAGGCGCTAGACCTCGGACGGGCCCTGGAGTCTTCCTATGCAAAGAATTGTGTCTCTGTGGCAGCTCAGGGGCTGACCCATTAGTGGGACTGGAGGGCCCATTGGGGACCCCAGGAGGCTGGCGGTAAGGTGGTGGAGGCGGGGCCAGAGACTGGCCGCTTGGTCCTGTTCTGATAGTCACAGGGGAGGGAGGTGGTTTGACTGGGGGTGGAGCAGGAGGTCCCTCTCGGCCAGGGTGAAGCCTCTGTCCAGGTGTCGGCGGCAAAGGTTTCTCTCTATTGTAGGCAGGGGTTTTACCGCTGTGCATAGGCAGAGGTGTAGGGGGTGCGTTGGCACGCCGCCCTGGGGGTGGTGGAGGAGGGGCGGAGGAGCTGTGCTTCATGCCAGGACTGCTGGTGGAATTAGGCCGAGAGAGGTCCGGCAAAGAGGGTCTCTGCATCCTGGGCAGTTCTGGGAGTGAGGCTCGGCTGCTGTCTGTATCGTCTTGAGGGCGGCCGCTGGCTGCAGACCCTGGAGGCCTGGGGGCAGCCGCTCGGGAACTGGGGGCTTGCAGTGCTGGCTTACCAGCTAGGTTCTCTACAAATACACCAGACAAGAAGGGAGTCAGCAGGGTTGGATATGTGTTGGTTAGTTTATCTACCTCACCCACCCTCCGTAGTGCAGTCTACACGGGAGCAGGGTGCACTCAGACAGTTCTAGATCAGGGCTGGTTCACAAATGTTACTGATATAAATGAAAAGCATATGTTTATGTAATGGCTCAGCTTTTGCTTTATTTGACTTTAAATTCCTCCCCTGCCCCCACTCTCCTTCCTTCCCAACCTCTACCTCACTCCTAAGTCCCAGATGTCCTACTTTTAACTACTCAGGGATGACTGCACTTGATGGGACACTGAGCTTCTGTTGAGGGTGATGATGGTAATGGGTGAACAACATGATGACATGTAGTATCACTGAGTCGTCTATGTAAAAACTGTTACACATATATTTACTACAACTAAAAATGCTTAGATGTATATATATATACATATACATACATATATATATATATAT